GCCCACCCTCTCTGTGTCCCACTCCCTGTACAATGGGATATTACTAGGACACAGCTCATCGTCTTTTGAGGACTAAATGAGATAGTTATTCTGCCATAATGCCTGAAATGGATATCTATAACCTTTTTAATGAAGATGAAATTATATTTCTTTGGCCTTTTAGATTTCTAGGGTGTTTTCATTCCCTATAATGATATTCTTCATTTTAATGATCAGTGATTTAAATTTCTTCTCCATTTCCCCTACTTTAAAAAAAAGTCCTTAAAAAATATGGCAACAACTTTCTCTTTTCCAACATTCTGCAATTTATTCATCATAATGAGGATCTTGATTTAAGCAAGAATTAGAGTGGCCAAGGCTTTCTTTGAAGCATAATAAGTCTAAATATGGTAGCCTATGGACTTACCCAAGAGCTAAAGATTCTTTCAGTTAGTATAGTCTTTGGCAAGGCAATTAGTAACTTGTATGTATCTCAGTTGATGAGTGGATAAAATGAAATAGTCACATAAACTTGGATTGGATCCTACCTAGGGAAAACACAGTTACCACATTTTGATGATGGTTAGATAGATTTGAATATGGACTTGACATTTGATTTTATTAAAGGAATTATTGTTAGGTAATGAGGTGTGGAAATGGCAGAATAACTATCCTGACTGAACTTCTTGTTGTAACAACTACAGGTGCTTTTAAATTTCATCAATATACTGGCAAGGAAATACCCAGAAACCAAAACCTCAAAATTCAGGTAGAGAGAGGTGGAACACCATGCAAATTTGGCTTCAGGATTTCATGTTTGAAACAGCATCTGGCACTCAGTGACTGCCATCTAAATACAATATCTTAGTGATTATTAACTGTTACTACCTGTTTCTGCCAAGTTACAGTGATGATATAAAAAAAATTCCTTGGCTCATGACAACATCAAAAAGCCCTGGCCGGTATGGCTCAGTGGCCCGCATATGGAAGGGTCTCAGGTTCGATTCCTGGTTAGGGGGCACATACCTTAGTTGCCAGTTTGCTTCCAAATCTCTCCCTTCCCCATC